AGGAATTTAAAGACTGTCACCATATCCCCCCTCACTCTTCTAGCTTCGAGTGATGGTAAGTCTAATTCCCTCAGCCTCTCATCATAACTGAGATTGCGTATTTCTGGCACCAGTTTCGTGGCATGTCTTTGAACTTTTTCAAGCTTAGCTATGTGCTTTTTCAAGTGATCACCTAATTGTGATTACCTAATGGTGTTTACGGGAAAGAGCCCAAAGCTCGTATCTTCCCGTCTCCTGATCGCTTCCATTTTATACTTAGTGATACTTATCATACCTGTCCTTAAAACTATGGATTGAGATAGCATTAACTACCTCCTCGCTTAGCCAATTCCAATTATCAACTACTCTTACACTGAAAAACTATTTCCTTACATCCTGCAAAGAAGTTTTCTTACGAAGCTTCAAACTATGACCTCTAGTTCTAGAGCCAGCCATATTAAAATATCGATCCCTATCCACTCTATCATAACCATGAAGGAATTTAAAGACTGTCACCATATCCCCCCTCACTCTTCTAGCTTCGAGTGATGGTAAGTCTAATTCCCTCAGCCTCTCATCATAACTGAGATTGCGTATTTCTGGCACCAGTTTCGTGGCATGTCTTTGAACTTTTTCAAGCTTAGCTATGTGCTTTTTCAAGTGCGGATTCCAAAAGGGGGCTGCATATTCGAGTTTTGGCCTCACATAGGTTACATAAATATTTCTGAACATTTCCTTGTCCATGTGCCTGAAGGCTACCCTTACATTTGATAAAAATGCATATGCTGCCCTTACTATGCCATTTATATGTATTTCTGGAGACAAATCTGCCAGTATGTTTACTCCTAGATCTCTCTCATTTTCTGTCTCTTGAAGTTGTACTCCAGCCACCGAGTAGTCAAGCTTGGGCCTTCTTGCACTTGTACCCATTCTCATTACCTTACATTTTGAAGTACTGAATTTCATTAGCCACTTTTCTGACCACTCATGCAGATTATTTAGATCCTCCTGAAGTTCTCTACCATTGTTCTCGTTTTTTACTTTCTTCACAATCTTTGCATCTGCAAACATATTCATGAATGAATTTACAGACTCTGGTAGGTCATTTACATATACAACAAAAGTGGCCCTAAAACTGAACCCTGTGGAACTCCACTACTAACTCTTCTCCATTCAGACACTGAGTGTCTTACTCTAACCCTCTGTTCCCTTCCTTCTAAGTAAGTTTTTATCCATTCCAAAACATTTCCACCTATTCTAGCCATTGATTGCAGCTTCCTAATAAGTCTCCCATGTGGAACAGTGTCAAACGCTTTCTGGAAGTCTAGGAATATGCAATCTGCCCAGCCCTCTCTTTCCTGTAAGATTTGGCTTACCTCATCATAAAATTCTAATAAGTTTGTTACTGTTGATCTACCTTCTCTGAAGCCATGTTGCCTCACTGACAAAAAGTTGAAGGATTCCAAGTGAAGAGAGATATGTTTCCTTAGTAGTTTCTCCATAACTTTGCAAACTATGCTGGTCAAGGAAACTGGTCTATAGTTCAGAGCCGTATCCCTCCTTCCCTTTTTGAAGATAGGTATCACATTTGCTTGTTTCCAGCATCTTGGAATCTCCCCCGACGCCAGTGTGTGTGTGTGATTACCTAATTGTGATTACCTAATTGTGTTTACGGGAAAGAGCCCAAAGCTCGCATCTTCCCGTCTCCTGATCGGTTCCATTTTAGACTTAGTGTGTGTGTGTGTGTGTGTGTGTGTGTGTGATTACCTAATTGTGATTACCTAATTGTGTTTACGGGAAAGAGCCCAAAGCTCGTATCTTCCCGTCTCCTGATCGGTTCCATTTTAGACTTAGTCATACTTATCGTACCTGTCCTTAAAACTATGGATTGAGATAGCATTAACTACCTCCTCTCTTAGCCAATTCCAATTATCAACTACTCTTAAACTGAAAAACTATTTCCTTACATCCTGCAAAGAAGTTTTCTTACGAAGCTTCAAACTATGACCTCTAGTTCTAGAGCCAGCCATATCGAAATATCGATCCCTATCCACTCTATCATAACCATGAAGGAATTTAAAGACTGTCACCATATCCCCCCTTACTCTTCTAGCTTCGAGTGATGGCAAGTCTAATTCCCTCAGCCTCTCATCATAACCGTGTGTGTGATTACCTAATTGTGATTACCTAATTGTGTTTACGGGAATGAGCCCAAAGCTCGTATCTTCCCGTCTCCTCATCGGTTCCATTTTTAGACTTAGTGATACTTATCGTACCTGTCCTTAAAACTATGGATTGAGATAGCATTAACTACCTCCTCGCTTAGCGAATTCCATTTATCAACTACTCTTACACTGAAAAAGTATTTCCTTACATCCTGCAAACAAGTTTTCTTACGAAGCTTCAAACTATGACCTCTAGTTCTAGAGCCAGCCATATCGAAATATCGATGTGTGTGATTACCTAATTGTGATTACCTAATTGTGTTTACGGGAAAGAGCCCAAAGCTCGTATCTTCCCGTCTCCTGATCGGTTCCATTTTTAGACTTAGTGATACTTATCATACCTGTCCTTAAAACTATGGATTGAGGTAGCATTAACTACCTCCTCGCTTAGCGAATTCCAATTATCAACTACTCTTACACTGAAAAAGTATTTCCTTACATCCTGCAAACAAGTTTTCTTCCGAAGCTTCAAACTATGACCTCTAGTTCTAGAGCCAGCCATATCGAAATATCGATCCCTATCCACTCTATCATAACCATGAAGGAATTTAAAGACTGTCACCACATGTGTGTGTGTGTGTGTGTGTGTGTGTGTGTGTGTGTGTGTGTGTGTGTGTGTGTGTGTGTGTGTGTGTGTGTGTGTGTGTCTGAGGGTGCGGACACTTGCCCCTAGGATGATTTACCCTAAGTTAACAGCCCTTAAATCGTGAAGCAAAAGAGGAAAATTGTCTCTTTATAAGAAAGTAAGTGAATTATATCATATAATTAATAACCAATGAATGAAAAGAAGATCGTTGCGAACAATTTATCGTTTCATACTCGGTTAGATTAAGTTAGGTTAAGGTGAACTGTAAGAATATCAAATTATATACACTACAAACAATGCATTTCCTTACATCATGCAAAAAAGTTTTCTTGCGAAGCTCCAAACTGGGACCTCTATTTCTAGAGCAACCCGTATCAATATATCGCACCTTGCCCACTATTTCCAAACCATCAAGGAAATTAAAAATCGCTACCGTATTCTCACTCTTCTCTTAAGATTCGAGTGATGGCAATTCTAACTCCCTCAGCCTTGCTTCATATTTGAGATCTCTTATTAATGTTATAATCTTCGTAGCATGTCTTTGAACTTTCCCTAATATATTCACATGCTTTTCAAGTGCGGATTCCAGACAGACACTGCAGCTGTAACCTTTGATCTCAGATTAGAAACGTATCTATTTCTGACGATTTCGTTGTTCAAATGCCTAAATGGCACCCTTGTATTTGCTAAGAAAACATATCATATCTTTACCATACCATTTACATGCATATCCAAAGACATATTTGCAAATACATTTACCGCTGGTATCTTTCCTTTTCAAGAATTTTCAAGTTTCCCTTCTGCTAATGAATACCCAAACATGCACATTTGCAAACTCTAATTTCTTTAGATTTTGAAGTATTGAATATTATTTGCCACTTGTCTGACACCTCATGCAGACTATTCAGGTCTGTTTAAAGATTTTCCAACATTTTTTCAATCTCTTCACGTTCTTTGCATCATCTGCGAACATACTTAACAATGCATGTACAAACTCAACAATGCAATACTTATACATATATTATTATGTTTCAGAACGAACACATAATATATGTATGAGTTCGAACGAACTTTAGTCTCGTATCGCTCTTTCTTCAACTCGACTCCAGTTTACGGAGAGTATCTTAGTGCGGCACCCAAAATATAATTAAATTTAATGCCTCTAAGGCACGGTTTTATTGCTATCAGTTTATCTTCTTCTCCTCCTGATAACCCTATTGCCTTCGAAACTACCTTCTTAATTTTTTTTTAACATGTTAGGAATCCAGATAGCTTTTAACTTGTCTTGGAGGAGTCACATATTCCAGATTTCTAAATCTGCATCCAAAATATTGGGGGTTCTGTTTCGTTTTCGTCATTACTTTTCCTCTTTTCAGTTACTTAAAATTTATAATGATGGTCTTATCCATCCCTGCTTAGAATACTGCGCGCACGTCTTGGGTTCTTCTTCTTATACTTATCTCCTAGATAGGGTGGAATCTAAGGCTGTCAGACTCATCAGCGGCCCTTCTTTAACTTCCAATATGAATTCACTTTATTTTCGCTTTGATATCTTTTACCGTTACTATTTCCATCGCTGCTCTGATGAGTTGGCGAGTTACAGCCTTCCTCCGCTACCGAGGCCGTGTAACACACGCCAAGCGGCTTCGTCTCACAGGTACTGTGTGGAGATGTGTAGTTCTCAGATTGGTCGGTGCAGTGACTGCTTCTTCCCATCCACCTCCAGAATGTAGAACTCTCTTCCTGCTTATGTCTTTCCTAATTCCTTTAACCTGTCTTCCAAAAGCAAATCGATCGTCATCCCAAGGCCGATGGATCTTGTCATATCTTTAGGTCTTCATTACTTCGACTATTCTTTCAGTTTGTCCTTTTCCTATTGTGTATCATTCTGTTATTTCTGCCGCCTTGTCTTTAAGCAGCTGTTTTTTTTCTTCATCCGAATATTTTCTTGGTGCCAGGGCCTGATGAGGGCAATTTTCTGGCCTGTTCTGGTGTCACAGTCGTAAGAGAAAAAAAAATCTTTTTATCGCGTTTGCAATGCTTTAGCGTATAATACTTGATATGACTGGTCAAATTGATTTAGGCTATTGTTATAATTCACAGAAGAAATAATCACGTAATAACTATAGAGCAATTAAAATACAGGTATACAGATTTTAGGGATAAGGTTATATTTTCGATTTCAAATATAGTTTTTCTACATCGGTCGTGACCAAATGGCCGAATGGGTATGCCGTTGGACGGCCAATCCAAGAGGATTTCCTTGCGTGGGTTCGAATCCCGTCCTCGTTGGCGCATTGATTCTTGTAGCAAACTTAAATTTATGGCATCGATTTTCATTTTTTTTTCATACAAAAATGTACTTATGCACTAGAATAATACTTAACTGAATTATTGCAACTGTGATTACTGTCTTGAATATATTTCAAGACAGTTTATTTCTACGTACATTATGTAAGTGTTAGTTTGCATATAGTTTCGTTTATTGTAACGTAAGTGCATAAATGTATACTTTTAGACTTCGCATGTATACTTATTAAGTTCTATCATGTATACACGTATATTCGTATGTATAATGTGTAGTTTATTAGGGAGGCTGGCCGTAGAAGACATGGAGAAAGGAATGTAGGTCACTAATGGATTTTAGCCATTAACCCTTCACCTCCTTGATAACGCCTCGTTGAACAAAGAACTGTTGTAAGCAAGTCATAAGTCAACTTAGTCCTAGTACCAAGGACCCCGACAAACTAGAGGAGTTTGTGGGACTTTCTTATAAAGTTAGTTGCCGTCGTGAGATGCTACGAGGCACTCATTTATACTGTGTTTGTTGACAGTACTTATAAGTTTATTCTTAGTGGTACTCGTGAGATGATACGAGACACTCATGTTTACTGTGTTCATTGACAGTACTTATAAGTTAAATTTCTGTTGTTCTCGTGGGGCATTACGAGACACTCAAGTAGAAGGACGTGATAGAGATCTGTGGATCAGAAGATACGTTTTTGATTCGGAGTCCCGTGATTGCTGACGACATCAGGGTTGTCCGGACAGATGAGTACAGATTCATTGTATTTCTAACAATATTTATAACTACGTGTGAGGGACAGAATGAGCTCATTTAATTGAACACTCGTAGGTAGAATGTATGTTAGAAAATGTATTATTCTGTATGAGGAAGTTTGAATTTAAGGTGAGGAGAGTTTATTTAAATATTCACATATCAGCAGTTCATAAACCCCCATATAAAATATTTGCATGTATGTTTATGCATGTAATATTAATTATATTTTATTGGTAGAGGATTTAATTTTGAGATCGTGGTAGGCCTCTACTGAAGCCGTATCAGGATTTCCGAATTTAGGGGGTTATAAGATCGAAGGGTAAATAACACACAGGAAATCCTCCACAGCTTTTGGTCCTTCGAACCGGATGAGAATTGGTGTGGTAATGGTGAAAATAGTGTACATTTTAGATAAGCTCCCACCTTGTAAGAAGTTAGTGAAAAACTCTACGGTTAAAATCGTCCACATTTCAGCGAAAACAGGGAGGAGCATTGCATGTATTTGCATGAATATTGTAAATATAACTTTGAAATTTAAGTGGTTGTTGAAATAAATAAGAGAATCCCTTTCCCACGTGGATAAAGCGTTTCTCTATCTGTGGAAACGAAATATACTTACGTAGTTGAGCGTCCATTAAGTAATTTGGATATTAGTACCCAATTTCGGCTGGGTGAACAGTGGTTTTTAGGGATTTGTGTGTTTACATATTTCCCATTTAACGATGTCTAGAATGTTGTATTGATTCCTTTGTTTATGTAAATAAACAGAAGGTAGTGACCCACCTACTGCTAGGTGCACAGTGTCATTTATTTGAGGAACAGTGTGGTTTGCATTACACTTTCCATTTACTGTTACTGACTTAACAGTGTCGTTTAATTGATGAAAAGTGTGTTTTACACTTTGAGGATTGGCGTCATAATTGACGGAATTAAATAACTGTATGTTATTATCTTAAGATTTGGAAGATTGTCCTTTGATACTCTTTAGAGTGATTGTTCGTTGCATTGTGGATGCATAAAGAAGATCGTGGATTCTTTGATGATAAAATTGCATCAACTATTTGTTTGTTGTTTTATGTTCTATTTGCTTTCTCAATATGTCGGTTAAACCTGAGGCATTAAAACGCCTTCGGGAATTGGTTCAACGTGATTGTGTTCAGTGTCAAACAGAACTTGCCAAAGATGATGAGACACTTGTTGTTAATTATTTAGAAAGATGTCATCTTACGCTAACAGAAAGATTCGGAAGATATGATAGGAAATATGAGGAATATGTCGAGAATAAGCCCCTTAAAAGGGATTCAGAAGAGGAGGATACAGAACATGACAATCTAGCTGAAACAGTAAATGATATTAGCTTAGCTGTCCTAGAACGGATTCGTAAGTTAGGAACTATGAAGAGTACTCGAGCTCCTAGTTCCGAGAGTTCAAGCCTCCCCAGTGGGCAACCCTCACCTAAATTTCCTGAAGTAAAGTTACCACAATTCTCTGGAAACTATGATGAATGGAACGAGTTTTGGGATACGTTTGATAGTTTAGTACATAGTACTTCTATGGCAACTATGACAAAGTTTACCATCTTGAGAAATGCCCTTAAAGGAGATGCAAAGGACACCATAAAGGGATATCCTGTTGCATAAACATACATGCAAATATTTTATATGGGGGTTTATGAACTGCTGATATGTGAATATTTAAATAAACTCTCCTCACCTTAAATTAAAACTTCCTCATACAGAATAATACATTTTCTAACATACATTCTACCTACGAGTGTTTAATTAAATGAGCTCATTCTGTCCCTCACACGTAGTTATAAATATTGTTAGAAATACAATGTATCTGTACTCATCTGTCCGGACAACCCTGATGTCGTCAGCAATCACGGGACTCCGAATCAAAAACGTATCTTCTGATCCACGTATCTCTATCACGTTTTTTACTTGAGTGTCTCGTAACGTCTCACGAGTACCACTAATAATAAACTTATAAGTACTGTCAACAAACACAGTAAGAATGAGTGCCTCGTAGCATCTCACGACGGCAACTAACTATTTGTAAGAAAGTCCCACAAACTCCTCTAGTTTGTCGGGGTCCTTGGTACTAGGACTAAGTTGACTTATGACTTGCTTACAACAGTTCTTTGTTCAACGAGGCGTTATCAAGGAGGTGAAGGGTTAATGGCTAAAATCCATTAGTGACCTACATTCCTTTCTCCACGTCTTCTACGGCCAGCCTCCCTAATAAACTACACATTATACATACGAATATACGTGTATACATGATAGAACTTAATAAGTATACATGCGAAGTCTAAAAGTATACATTTATGCACTTACGTTACAATAAACGAAACTATATGCAAACTAACACTTACATAATGTACGTAGAAATAAACTGTCTTGAAATATATTCAAGACATCCTGGGCCCCTCCAAAAAGGAAAAAATGGAGGGTCTCCCCATCAGTACTACAATTTATCATCAATGATTAAGCGTGCCCACAATTCTTTAACCCTTTGGGCAGCTTGACGTTCAGATCTTTCATAATTTGATGATTCCTCTTCGTATACTTCTGACAACAGATATTCCCATGAGAGCTTTTCAGACCAAGCTCTCTGAATAAGAAATTTTCCTCTTCTTAGTAAGGATGATATTAGACCTAAGGGGTCCAAAAGTATACCCACCAGTGACAGAAGTTTAAGTTTGGTCAACACATCTTCTCTAGCCTTCAGACTTTTCAAAGACAACTTGTCTGTATTAACATTCCAGATTAAACTAAAGATTGATACTTTAGGAGATCTAGAATTTTCAGAAAGGCGCTGATCCAGTACCCTTTGAAGTCTTGCATTGGAATTTAGTGCTTGCAGTGATATTTTGGTCTTTTCCCACTCTACATCTGCAGTATTGCATATATCATACTGTTTCTCTTCACTGGTACAAGCATCCAACAAATTACCCACATGAACATTCTCCAATATTTCCTCCAACTGTTCTATTAGAGACTTCATTTGTCCAAAGGCACTCTGAAAATTGTGTAGGAGAGGAGTGTGGATAAGCTTCAAGGGAACAGAATCTGTAAAACTTCTAAGTGTAGTTTTATCTTCGTAATGCACTTCTTGCTTTACTCCAATACTCTCTGGCTCCCACAACTTATTAACAGGCTCTATGGCCTTCTCAATCAACAGCTTATTAACAGGCTCTATGGCCTCTTCAATCAACAACTTATTAACAGGCTCTATGGCCTCTTCACTCAACAACTTATTAACAGGCTCTATGGCCTCTTCACTCAACAACTTATTAACTGGCCTTTTGGCCCCATCAATCAACTCTTGAGTAGCTGTAGGAAAAACCTGTGTTCCTACTCGCATAACAATATGCCTCTGCACATTACTGGGTTCATGTTGAGTATCACAAGGAATATGGCCATACAACATGACACCACCCGGTGTTTCCATCAAAGTATAGACATCCCACTTGTCAATACCACTAACAAACTGACTAAAATGTAAGGCACCAATAACAATGCCAATGTTATCAAGTACATCACTATCAATATCTTCATCGGCCAACTTGTGACCATTTGACTTTAACACATTTGCAGCCTTTGCTAGTCCTGGAGTGTGGATGCTAATTACCATGTCATCAACTACGAGTAATTTAACTCTGGCTCTTCTTTTCCCCAATTTGATAACTACATTTACAACAGGGAAACTTCCTTTCTTCGTCTCAGAACGAAATGCATCAATACCAAGAGACATTTCATCTACTGGGCTTAATTTAAGCCTTTCAGCTAATTCCCTAGTTATAAAGGAACACTGGGAACCTGTATCAAAGAATAACCTAGTATTTACCCAAAGATTTCCCTTTGAGCTGCTTATTTTTCCACTTGCAGTAGGCAGAGCACATGAAGGTAAACTCGGCTTCACCATTTGCCTCTGTACTGCCTTTATAGTCATCACACCAACATGTTTCTTGTCCTTTTCGGAGTCAGAATGTTCTTGCTCGTTGTTTGACTCATCTAAATTTGAACCATTTCCTGACTGTTCATTCAGAAATGTAGGTTCTTCAAACCTTCTACGAAATTTTGATTCTTGTTCATAACACAAGGCTGCATGATGACCATTTTTCTTACACTTCTTACACTTTAACTGAGTGTAACATTCATTTGCATAATGCCCTGACTGAGTACATCTCAGACATTTGTTATTGTTTCTCAATTTGTCTCTGCGTTCATT